CTTAAATTCTTGTTTTCAACTAGAAGTTCAATATCGCTTGCCATATCGTTTATGGCATTGTTTAAATCATCTTCGTTTAAGATATTGTATCTTCTACTTCCTATTGTATGTGTTCTTTCTTCATCATCAAAATTATAATCTTCTGCGAGATATGTAAATACTAATTCAACCGTAATTAAAACTTTCATGCTCTTATGTTTCTTAAGATAATCGTTTAAGCGTTCTTTTTGATATTTAAGGTATGATAAACCTTTAAAACCTGAAAGATTAATGTTTGAAATGGAATAAGAATTAGCATAAGATTTTAACGCGGATTGTTCATTTGTTATTGAGGCCTTGTTTTTAATAGCATAGCTTTTTAAAGCTTGACGAACCATGATTTTTTTAGAAGCGTCGTTTAATATTTTTTTCCGTTTGTATTCTGGTGTTTTAGATATTTTATCAAGTTTTTTTGTTAAACGCTCTGTAAAAGGTTTTGATGAATTATATGGATATTCTTTACCTTGAATAATAACTTTCTTTAGTTGTTTACCTTTATTATTAACTTTAATCTCACCTATATCTGAAGATAAGGCGTATTTCATAACAGATTTTTTTAATGAATCTTCCATATAAATATATAGGTTATCATTCTTTAAGTCTGGATTTAGGGGGCTGGGGCTCTCCATACCCTTTAAGGTGCCTTCCCTTTAAGTAGTGGCGGGTTCTGGGGAGCGGGCGGGGCTGGTGGGTCACCAACTTAATTTCTAAAATTAGGTTTTATAATATATTATTATATAACTTAATTAGTATGTGAAGTTGTTTTCATCGTGTTCTTCTGCTATTATATCTCGTTCATTATGTAGTCTTTCTCCTTTCATTTCTAATTGTCTTCTTATTTCTTTTGTTCTACGGTGTTGTTTTTTAAGTGCTTCTATTTCATCTGATAAATCCAGCATTTCACAGGTTTTCTTGCAACATTGACAACCAGTGAAATAAATAATATTTTGTGTTATATTTTCTGGTAAAATTTTTAATGTGTTATTTAACTGTTTTCTTTTATCATGACAGATAAAACAATAAATAGGATGTTCTTCATCATCATAGTCCAAAAGACGACTATAATATTTTAAGTGCTCGGGTTGCTCGGTCATTGGTCTCCTTACACTCTAAGGGTGCCTTTTCTTTAAGTAGGGGCGCTGGGGGCTGGGAATGCAAACACCCTATTTATTCAGATAAATCCCTCCATTTATTCGGATAAATCCCCCCAT